GAGGAACTGGGTCGATTGTACAAAGTCTCGGGTTTTCTGAGGTATTCAGGAATGGAAATGTTCCCTCTGGTGCTCAGGGCCCTGGTGACGCTGTCGGAGAGAGCCGAGACGGTGAGCAGGCTGCTCTCAGGGGCAGACATGTTTCACCTGTACTCTGAGGTCTCAGAGAAGGTGGTGGCTGGGCCTGGGCTGGGAGTCAGGTGCTGGCTTGACTGCTCCAAATGCTCTGCCGGACATGGTGTGGCCTGGTGACTGCCTGGGGATCAACCAGGCAATGAAATGCTCACAGAATGGACTTGTCTTTCATGCAGGCAGGAAAAATGAAGAGTCTCCTGCAAGATTTGCTGCGATTCCTGTGGCATTGGTCTTGGGAGAACACAATGATGGCCATGGAAATCTTCCACAATGTGCTGGGGCACCTGAAGAAGAGAGAGGCCAGCTCCACGGCTGTGATGATGGTGCATAATCTCTTGCACCTCTTTGATGCGGTAAGGCTGATGTGGGAGCCTGAGCCCCGCTGAGGATCCCTAGGCAATGACAGCTGCCCTGCAGCCCGGCCCTGGGAGCAGCACAAGGAGCCCGCTCCCCTGGGCTCTCCTGGGAAGGATTCCAGGCCTTGCAGCCCAGAGCTGCTTCTGCCCTCTCTGGGCTGGGACCCCGCAGCATCGCCCCTCGCCTCAGCCACCTCAGCTCAACCCCTCCTGGCCACGGGCAGGGAGCCGCTGTGTGCAAAGCTCAGCTTTCCTCCTTCCTACCAGAAGGAAGAGTGTGTACGGGAGCGCTCCATCTGCCTCTTCAGAGATGTGCTGGGCAAAACGGTATGGAGGGACAAGAAGGTCATGAAGAGAAATGCCTGGAAGGCCCTGGTCCGGCTCCTCCTTCACATGAGTGATAAGGCCCCCAGCGTGGCCAAGGTACCAATGTCACAACTGAGCACTGACCCAGAGAGGGGAGGCTGACACCCTCAGGGGATCCCAGCCATCGGGGTGAGGGCTGTTGGCAGCAGGCAGCGTTCCCCCCAACAGCCCCTGGGAGCCAGGGCCCGCAGGGCCGGACAGGCTGGCACGGCCATTTCCAACCCCTGCCCTGCCTACTCCAGCAGGGCTGGGCAGCAGCCCGGCACAACCGAGGCCTGGACACGTGTGTACCCAAAGGCTTCTCAGCTGTCCCCACCGGTGCTCCTGCAGGGCTTTGCACCACAAACCCTGCTGGCTTTCCCCAAAGAGAGTCCCGAAATGCTTTGGCGAGGGCATGTCTCAGCTTTCTACGGGCAAAATCACCCCAGGAGAAAAGCCCAACTCTCCTTCCACAGGCCCTGGTGCCATCTCGCAGCTTCTGTCCCACAGGCCTCCAAGGAAGCCATCCTGGCTATAGCAGAGCTTCTCAAATGGCAAGAGCTCAAGCATCTGGTGCAGACAGAGCAGACGTG